TTGAACAACCTACTTCCTAAGGACTCCTGGATATAAACAGTGATATTAAGGCAGAAATCAAGAAGTTTTTTGAAACCAATGAGAACATGGAGACAATGTACCAGAATCTGTGGGACACAGCTAAAACAGTGTTAAGAGTGAAATTTATAGCACTAAATGCTCACCTCAGAAAGCTCGAAATATCTCAAATTGACACTCTAGCATCACAATTAAAAGAGCTAGAGTATCAAGAACAAACTAATCCAAACACTAGCAGAAGAAAATAAACAACTAATATCAGAAAAGAATTGAACTAGACAGACACATGAAAAGCCCTCCAAAAAAATCAGAAATCCAGGAGCTGGTTTTTCAAAAAAAACTAACAAAATAGATAGACCACTAGCTAAACTAATATAGAAAAAAAGAGAGAGAAGAATCAAATAGACACAGCAAAAATTATAAGGGAATATCACCACTGACCCTACAGAAAGACAAACTACCAGTCAGAGAATACTATAAACACCTCTATGCAAATAAACCAGAAAACCTAGAAGAAATGGGTAAACTCCTGGACACAGACACCCTCTCAAGTCTAAACCAGGATGATGTTGAATCCCTGAGTAGACCAATAACAAGTTCTGAAATTGAGGCAGTAATTAGTAGCCTACCAACCAAAAAAACAAAAACAACAAACAAAACAAAACAAAACAAAACAAAAAAACAACCCAGGAGCAGACAGACTCACAGCTGAATTCTACCAGTAACACAAAGAGGAGCTGATACCGTTTCTTCTGAAATTATTCCAAACAATTGAAAAAGAGGGACTCCTCCCTAACTCATTTCATGAAGCCAGCATTATTCTGATACCCAAACCGGAAAGAGACACAACAACAAAGAAACTTCAGGCCAATATCTCTAATGAACATTGATTGAAAAATCCTCAATAAAATGCCGGTAAACTGAATCTAGCCGCAAATCAAAAAATGTATCCACCACCATCATGTTGGTCATCCCTGTGATGCAAGGCTGATTCAACATACACAAATAAAGAAACATAATCCATCATATTAAACAGAACCAAAGACAAAAATCACATGATTATCTCAATAGATGCAGGAAAGGCCTTTGATAAAATTCAACATTCCTTCATGTTAAAAACTCTTAATAAACTAGATATTGAAGGAACATATTTCAAGATAATAAGAACTATTTATGGCAAACCCACAGCCAATATCATACTGAATGGGCAAAAGCTAGAAGCATTCCCTTTGAAAACCGGTACAAGACAAGGATGCCCTCTCACACTACTCCTATTCAACATAGTATTGGAAGTTCTGGCCAGGGCAATCAGGCAAGAGAAAGAAAGGATATTCAAATAGATGGAGAGGACGTCAAATTGTCTCTGGAGATGGCATGATTCTGTATTTGGAAAACCCTATTACATCAGCCCCAAAACTCTTTAAACTGATAAGCAACTTCAGCAAAGTCTCAGGATACAAAAATCAATGTGCAAAAATTACAGGCATTTCTTTACACCAATGGTAGACATGCAGAGAGCCAAATCATGAGTGAACTCCCATTCACAAATGCTACAAAGAGAATATAATACTTAGAAATACAGCTAACAAGAAATGTGAAGGAAGGACCTTTTCAGGGAGAACTACAAACCACTGCTCAAGGACATAAGAAGGGACACAAACAAATGGAAAAACATTCCATCCTCAAATGGATAGAAAGAATATTGTGAAAATGGCCATACTGCCAAAGTAATTTATAGATTCAGTGCTATTCCCATCAAACAACAATTGACATTCTCCACAGAAATAGGAAAAAAAAAACTATTTTCAATTACATATGGAATTAAAGAAGACACCATATAGGTAAGACAGTCCTAAGCAGAAAGAACAAAACTGGAGGCATTATGCTACCTGGCTTCAAACTATACAACAAGGCTATGGTAACCAAAACAACATGGCACTGGTACCAAAGCAGACATATAGACCGATGACACGGAATAGAGACCTCAGAATAACACTACATACCTACAATCATATGATTTTTGACAAACCTGCCAAAAACAAGCAATGGGGAAAGGATCTCGTATTCAGTAAATGGTGCTGGGAAAACTGGCTAGCCATATGCAGAAAACTGAAACTAGATGCCTTCCTTATGCCTTATACAAAAATTAACTCTAGATGAATTAAAGACTTAAATGTAAAACTTGAAACCCTAAAAACCCTAGAAGCAAACCGAGGCAGTACAATTCAGGACATTGGCATGGGCAAAGACTTCATGACAAAAACACCAAAAGTAATTGCAACAAAAGCCAAAATTGACAAATGGGGTCTAATTAAATTAAACAGCTTCTGCACAAAAAAGAAACTGTCAGAGTCAACAGATAACCTACAGAATGGGAGAAAATCTTTGCAATCCACGCATCTGAGAAAGGTCTAATATCCAGTCTACAAGAAACTTGAAAAAATTTACAAGAAATGAAAACCACCTCAAAAAGCGGCAAAAGATATGAACAGATACTTCTCAAAAGAAGACACATACATGGCCAGCAAACATATGAAAAAAAGCTCAACATTGCTGATCATTAGAGAAATACAAATCAAAACCACAATGAGGTACCATCTCATGCCAGTCAGAATGGTTATTATTAAAAAATTAAGGAACAATAGATGCTGGTGAGGCTGTGGAGAAATAGGAATGCTTTTGCACTGTTGGTGGGAATGTAAATTAGTTCAACTATTGTGGAAGACAGTGTGGTGATTCCTCAAGGATCTAGTACGAGAAATACCATTTGATCCAACAATCTCATTACTGTATATGTACTTGAAGGAATACAAATCATTCTACTATAAAGATATGTGCACATGTATATTTATTGCGGCATGATTTACAATGGCAAAGACATGGAACTAACCCAAATGCTCATCAATGATAGACTGGTTAAAATGTGGTATATATACACTATGGAATATTATGCAGCTATAAAGAGGAATGAGATCATGTTCTTTGCAGGGACATGGATGAAGCTGGAAGTCATCATCCTCAGGAAGCTAACACAGAAACAGAAAATGAAATACTGTGTGTTCTCACTCGTAAGTGGGAGCTGAACAATAAGAACACATGGACACAAAGATGGGGACACACACCGGGGCCTGTTGGAGGGTGGGGAATGAGGGGAGGGAACATAAAGGGCCAGTCAATAGGTGCAGCAAACCACCATGGCAAATGTATACCTATGTAAAAAACCTGCATGTTCTGCAAATGTATCCCATGTTTTTTAGATGAAATAATAAAAAGAATTGGTTTTTGTTTGATTTTGCTAACATTTTCAACCCTGTAGTTCTTGTCCTTTTCTTCTGAGTTCTTAATAAATATTTTCTCTTGATGGTTGTAATTTAATTTTCATTTTTGGTGATATATATATATATATGTATGTGTGTGTGTGTGTGTGTATATATATATATATTTCCCCCCTTGTACTTTGAAAGCTTATTTTTCATGTGCTCTCATTATCCCATCATACATTGTCTGTGTACTTGTATCTATACTTTAGATCTTTATTTTAAAATGTTTTAGATTAATGAAAATATTTATCATGATTTTCATCTGCTCTGTAGCCACATTTTTCTAAGGTTTGTTTTTCTTCATTCTTTTCTCTCTTTTTTCCCTTGAAGTACCTCTGTAGAAAGATAATGCTGTATCTATTTTTTTAATTACTTATTTACTAATCTTGCAATAGTTATATACAGAGGTTTATTTGTGGGAACTTCCAAGGTAGAATTCAGGATACCAGCAATTATTTCTGGTTTGAAATAATGTTCTTATTGGCTGAACATGGTGGCTCATCCCTGTACTTTCAGGACTTTGGGAGGCTGAGGCAGGCAGATCACTCTAGGTCAGGAGTTTAAGAACAGCCTGGCCAACATAGTGAAACTCTGTCTCTACCAAAAAAACAAAAATTAGCTGGGCATAGTGGCATATACCTATAATCCTAGTACTCTAGAGGCTGAAGCAGGAGAATTGCTTGAACCTGGGA